GGCTTATTTAAATCTTTGTAATGCAGTTTTATTTTCCTACATAAAATAGAACCTAGATATTAAATGTTTTCCAAACCATAACTATATTGGAGAAAATAAAAAGAAGCTTAGTAGAATAAAACTTTTTATATAAAACAAAGAAGTTTGTTTTTCCCTAACACCAGCATAGTAGTTTGACTACTAAAGAAAGATTTTTTTCTTTTCTCAAATCTGAAGTATAAAACCTTTTAGGTATATCCATACTTAATGCTTTTAAACATATGAAAGCTTCTTAAAATATAAAAATAGCTTCCATCTGAGTAATCTTATTTTGCTGCTTGTATCACAGTAAACCAAAAGCACATACAATCAAGAAGCTGTGTTAGACCAGCTCGTAAACTAAGAGTAGCATGTCACTTGAGGCTTTACCATGCCTATTGTGTGCCAGGTGCTAGGAATAGCACAGTGAACAGATAAGACAAAGCGCCTACCCTATAAAGATTACATTCCAATAAGGAGAAACAGAGAATAAGTCCTTAAAATAAGGTCACAGGATACAGAATGGTGGGGTGAGGAGGGGTGTCACCATAGCAAGGCGTTTGAGCTGAGATCTGAGTGAGGAAGGTGAGTTAGTCTTGTGAAGATCCAGAGTTCAAGAGACAGGAAGGCCTGTGTAGTTGAAGCATTGAAATTGGGGGAGGTGGAGGAGATGAGGTCGGGGACAAAAACCAGAGTTGTTTGATGATACATTGGATGTGATGTATAAGGGGAAAGTGGAAATAAAGATAACTTCTAGGTTTGGGGACTGAGCTGGGTGGATGTTGGGGACATTTATTGAAATGGAGAGGGCAGGTAAGTCTTGGCCAAGTTCAGTGTGACATGCTTATTAAACATTCAAGTAGAAATAATAGTTTGGCTCTTTAAAAAGTGTTCAGTTCAGCAGAGAGGTAGTATCCAGGGATAGAGATTTAGGAGTCATCAGCATACAAATAGTGTTTGAAGCACGGAACTGAATGAAATAGATTATCTAGGAAGTGTGGCTGGGAAGAAAAAAGGGCTGTAGGTAGAGATCTGTAGCATTAAGGGTCTCCTACAAGAAGAGTGTAGAGGAAGGCAGGAACTGTTATCCCAGAAGCCTGGCAGTTATATAAATACTTCAAGAAGAAAGGGGTGGTCACCTGGGTCAGATGCTGCGAAGAGGCTGACTGTGATAAGAGGCTTTGGTAAAATTATAGTCATCGGTGACCCCGACGGCAGTGTTGTCAGCCAGAAAGCCAAATGAAGTAAAGTGAGTGGAAAATGGGCAAAACGAAAGTACAGGCCAGAATTGGAGACAGCCTTGCAGGAAGTTATGCTGTGAAAAGGAGCAGAGAAATTGGCTGGTGTCTGAAGGATGAGGGGATAGGTCAAAGGAGGGATTTTAAGATGAGAGTACTGGTGAGGCTCACTTGTATAATGTTGGTAGAGGGGGAGAAATTGAGATGCAGCGGAGAGAGTTAACTGCAAAAGCAGATTTCTTAAGAAAATGAGAGATGGTAGGTATCTAGGGCATAAAAGAAGAGTTGAGTTTGTCTTTAGATAGAATTAGGGTTAACAACTCTGTTGACTCAGAAAGAAAGGCTGAGTCTGTGAGTCTACAAACAGGTAGTTCAGTGGAATTGGTGCTGGAAAAATGAGGTTGTTCTCACCAGATTTCATCTATTTTTCTACAGGAGGTATGCAGTGACATCATGGGGGGGCGAGTATAAAAATGTTGAGGAGAAGGTACGAGATGGTTGTCTCCAGATTGAGAGAGAGAGAGAGAAATGACTTGATTGGGTGAAAGGAAAGTGCTATTAATTTCCATTTGAGATTGCTGGCCCTAATTTTATCACTGGCACAATTGCAGGCTTTCCCCAGCGGTGTTCAGCTACTGCGACGCGGTGCCAAGTAACCAGACGATTAGATTTGACTAGAGTTAGGGTTTTATCAGAGAGAGGGGTAGTGGGATTAAAGTATGTGGAAGGGAGTGGATATAGCCCTGGACCCTGGAATGTACACTGATATATGGATGTGAAGAAAGGGGAGGGAAGATACAAGATTGGAGGGGGCAGGGGCAATACTAGATAATGCTAAAAAGTAAACAGGATTCTTGATGAGATTAAGAATTGTCTCAGTGAGAGTATTACAGTATGTTAGCTGGAAGTGGTAGGTGTATTTGCGATTTCAGAAGAGACATAACAGCTCTAAGGTTAGGCCTTCAGTGGCTGAAGTGAAGTGATCATTGGCACTAAGGAGGCAGAGAAACTGAGAAGCCAGTCGCACTTCAGTGGTGTGTTCATGTGTTTGTCCTTTCCAGGTAGCCTCTTGGACAAAATACTGGGTAGCTTTGTGTGGGACACAACTTTTTTACTATGCTGCCAAATCTCTAAAAGCTACAGAAAGAAAACATGTAAGTACACCGTCTCTAAATTTTTGGCATAGTTTCATAGCTGCTTTGTGGTTGTAAAGAAAGTAGCCCTAATGGGATGCAAGGGGCTTTGTTT